AACGGGGGGCTGGTGGATGGGGAGGCGCCTGAACTCCCACCCCCACTATGGGCTCCCTCTGGGAAACACCTGGTCACAGAAGTCTGAGGGACAGCTGAGGTCAGGGTGGATGGGCGGGCGGGAGGGCGACGTCAGGGGGCGAGGGTTGCTGTAGGAAGAACTAGGTTCAGTGGGACGAAAGCTGAGCATCACAAGGTCCTGTCAGGCTGAGTAGTGTGGTGTGGCAGGTCCTTCTGTGTCCCGGCTAGGGTGGCAGAGAGGCTGAGCTGAGGGGGCGACCCCATGGGTTTGAATGATGCTGCATAGTGCAACGTTTGGGAGCCTTTGGGGGTCTAGTGAAGATTTCACAGGTCCAGGTTCCGGTGGGTTGGCTTGAGTCCAGCTGTGTCTCCGGTGACTGCCTGATGCCAGGCCCAGGTGTGGGGGGATTCAGTGGTCTCCTGGAGCACTGTTGGGACATGGTGTCGTAGCGCTGTGTTTTCCGACACACAGGTCAGAAGACGCGTGGCTGGGCGATCCTCCTAGGGCCATGTTATTTTCGGTTCTGTGAACTTGTGAGTCATGTGGACACCTGAAGGTCAGCCGATGCCTCATGCCCTTTCTCAGTCACATTGAGTTTAGGTGGGTTGGAATGGGGGATGAGAGAACTCTTTCCGAGTCCTCTTGGGTCCCACTTAGGTAAAGTCACATTCCTTGGGGCCACATTGTGTTGAGTTGTGGCACTAACTGAGTCTGGCAGAGCCGGCTTGCTGGTGGTGGGGTGCTGAGCTGCACATACGTCCAGCAAGTTGTATCATGGCAAATTTGCCAGGGAGGTTGGATGGTGGCAGACAGCATGTCTGAGGAGCTCCATAGGAGTATGTTGTGGGGGAATTCTGTGTCGAGGGGTACACCCAGGACCCAAGGCTCAGAGTCAGGGGAGGAACCAAGTAGCCAGGTAGCCAGGACTGAGCATGGGGGGGGTGGTAAATCCTGGGGTGCGCCGAGCCAGCTTGCACTGGGTCCCTCAATTGTAAGAGAGGAAACTGGGGGACATATCCACGCATTCCTTATCCATTCAACCCTCCTTCTGAATGAACGAGAAAGAGGGACACTCACCCCACTTGGCCCAGCCCCATTTCCCGTTCAACCCCACCCCCACCCCTGCCGTCTCTCTCTGTCTGTGGTTTTGCATCCAGACAAGAAAATCAGAGCCATGGCAGAGAGGGGGAGGAAACTGGACTTGGTCCAAGCCAGAAGGTGGGGGGAGGGACAAAGACCCCAGTAGGTCTTGAGATCCAGAGAGGAGGCGATGGAGAGAGGCTGAGACACAAGACTTGGAGGAAGTGCCAAAGACATCCCCAGGAGACCCAGAGCGTGGGATAGAGATCCAGAGTTGGAGACACAGCAGCGCACCTCCAGAAAGAGAAAAAATGGTGACACGGTCGCAGGCCCTCCAAATCACAGAGACCTGCAGTTAGAGCGGCCACTCCCCATCCTCCGGTGACTCCAGTTGGCTGTCAAACTAGGGGACCCACTGTATTTTCCAGGGGAGAAGCCAGTGCTTCCTCCAAGGTATGGGAGGGCCTGGCCCTGCAGGTCCCTTCAGTGGACAGGTTAAAGTCACAGGATATCTCCCCTGCTGCAGCCTCGTTTCCCATGAGCAGAGAAACTGAGGCTCCAAGGGGCCATCTGAGCCCCCTCCCACGTCGATCAGGAAGCAGCGCATTTTCCAAGGGCTATCAGTCCTAAAGGGCATTTCAAGGACGAGGCTTCAGCACTCACAGGGCAGTGTCCAGAGCCTGGATTCAGGGATTAAAACCCATCGCTGGTTGATGAGGGTGTCGCTGTCGTGATTTTTAGCTGACCTGCTTCCCCAACCCCACCCTGGTTTTCTTGGGTAAAATGAAATCTTACTTAGAGGCACCCAGAGGGGAACTGGGCAGAGAAGAACCTGCCACCTTGGAAGTTCCAGTTGGCAGCTTAATAGTTCCCAGAGATGCCAGACGCCCTCCACAAAGAGACCAGAGGACACCCACCTCCCAGTGCTGGGAGAGGGAGGAGGCGCTAGCCCCAGACTCAGGCCGGGAGGGGCAGGGAGCAGGACCCAGAGCAGGGCTGAGGGGGAGGAGTGTTCCCAGGGAGAGCGACAGACCCCGGAAGAGTGAAGGGACACAGGGGAGGGCAGGGACCAGTGAGAAAGGGGGAGACAGATTCAGGGAGAAAGGAGGTGGGGAATGGAGGCCCAGAGAGGGGACAGAGACCCAAACAGAGAACCTAGAGAGAAGGAGACAGGAGGGGGCAGAGATGGGGCAGGACTCGCCTTCCAGTGCCTCTGAGAGCCACACCGGGCTCTCCATCAGACACCCGCGAGGAGGTCAGGGAGGTGACCGCAGGCCCGCCCATTTCTCAGGGTGAAGGGGGGGGGACAGGGGACACCCTAAGCCGGGGACACCCTTCCTGCCACCTCGCCATGCTATATTTAGGCTCAGGAGGGGTTCATGATGACCCCCAGCAAGGTTGGTGTCAGCTTTCCTCCTGCAAATAGCTCTGGGGAGGGGCGAGGGCCCCCGCGGTGGGACGTCCGTGAATGCGGGGTCACCCCATGACACTGTTCCCCTTCTCGCAGGGTGTCTATCCTCTTTTTCAAATCTCCAGCCCCCTACCTGTCCCCGTGCGCACCCAGCGTTCTGAGCCCCGAAGAATTTCTCTTCTCCAAGCTCTGAACCCTCTCCCAGCCCCCCACCCGGGAGATTCCAGGAGGGAGGACTCGGGAGAGCCCCACCCCGCACCCCGTCTCTGCCTCGGACCTTATCACTGGCCCAGTCCAGCTGGTTAATGTCTGGCTGGGCTCCTGGGACAGGGAAGCGCGCAAGGGGCTCTGCCGGGATTGACACCTCGTTGGCAACAGCCTCAGCGGGATCTCAGGCCCAGAATCTGGGTCTGAGGGAGGGGTTGCGGGTCTGGCCCTGGGTCTGAGGGAGGAGGGGCTGAGGGATGGACCCAGGGTCTGAGGGAGGAGGGCCTGGGGCTGGATCCCTGGGTCTGAAGCAGGAGGGGCGGAGTTCTCGGTCTCCTGGGTCTGCTGCACCCCGCCACAGGGAGGAGGCTGGGGGGCTGGCCGGACCCCCGACTCAAAGCGAGGAGGGGGCTGCGCCGGGCCTCGCTCGGGGCAGCGGCGGGCGGCGGGCCGGGTGCGCCTGCCGGGTTGCGGGGGTGCCGGCCGGCAGGCGAAGGCGGGATCCCCCTATCCCCGGCCCCTCCTCCCGCCGGGCGCCGCCCCGCCCCGCCCCCGGCCCGGGCCCTCGGGAGCGGGAGCCGCGAGCAGCCGCGGGGCGAGAGCGCGTCCCTGCAGCCCGCGAGCCGGAGGAGGAGCCGCCGCCGCGCTGGGGGCTGCGGGGGAGCCGCGGAGGGCGCCCCAGGTAAGAGCCTGGGCGCCTCCTCCCCGCGGGAGCCCCGAGCCGGGCCGCCCGGCCCCTGGGAAGGGAGGGGCGGGGGCGGGGCCGGCGGGGCGGGGCCTGGAGGAGGAAACTGAGGCAGCGGGACCGTTCCAGAGCAGCCGTGGCGCGCTCCTCTACTGCGGGGGTCGGCTTAGCCCCCAGTCTCACTCTGTCTTCTGGAGGACGAGGAGTCTGGGAGCCCGTGTTTCTGGGAGTTTCAGGGAAGGAGGGCTGCGAACCACACTCCTCCCGTGTCAGAGGGAGGAGGCGCTGACTGTCCTGGGAAGGGAGGAGGGGGCTGGGGGCGGGAGCTCTAAAGGACCAAGCAGGTGAGCGGGAGCAGGACTCTCGGGTCTAAAGGAGGAAGGCAGTGGGGGCTTGGATTCCTAAAGGAGTTGGGGACCAGGACTGCAGGTCTGAGGGAGGAGGCATTGGGGTCCTGGTCCTGGCGGATCACCCTGTGCCCCTCCTCACCCCCCATCTTTCCATTTCCCCAACTCCGAGCAAGGGCAGGCAGCCAGTCCAGGTATGTGCCATGGAAGGCTTGGACGGGCCCTGGCCTGTCCTGTGAGGAGAGAACATTCCAGAAAGCAGCCTCTGGGACCCAAGGCTCCTGGAGGCTGAGTCCTCAAGCCGTTGTCCAGGTTCGCTCCGCCCCCGCCCATCTGGGCGCCGAATGGGCGCGGTGAAATCTGTTCCAGCCGCGGGCTGCTGCCCCCTCGCCCCCATCTGCTTCTCATCCCAGCCAGGAGCTATCACCTGGGCAGGAAAGGGGCCCTGGGGAGGGGCGTCGCCCTGATGGGCCCCCCCCCCCCCCCCCCCCCCCGGGAGTGGGTGAGGTGCCTACCAGGATGCAGCCACTCCCTATGCCTCTGTCACCCGCCTGTTCCTTTCTCCCCTTAGGTGGCTGCCCCCTGCCTCTCCTGAGATGTCAGGAAGGAGGGGGCCGCCTGTGTCCCCCACAGGGGTCCCCCGGAGCCTGGGGGCCCCCGGCCCCAGAGCTCGAAGGCGCAGGAGGTGCTGACAGGTCTGGACCCTCTGCCACTTCCCACCCTTCCCCACACCCCTATCCTCCCAAAACAGGCCTCCCCAAAGGGAGGGAACGGGAGAACCAGGCCCCACCCTAGCCTCCCGGAGACAGTCATCAACAGGGAAACTGAGGCCTTGATGAAAGCATCCAGAGTTGCACTTTGGAACTAAACTTGGGCTTCCCTGCACACCCCAAATGGGACCTTCCCTCAAAAGTGTTGAGTGGGCTGCTGGACTTGAGGGTCCTTAGGGTGGGAGAAACATGGCAGCAGAAGGAGCTGCTGGGGTGAGTCCAGCTCTGCCCACCTCTGGCCCCTGCAGGCTGTGTGATCTGCTGCAAGGCACTAACCTCTCTGGGCCTTTCTCTCCCTGTTGGTTGGCTCTCATAGCTGTAGGGTAATGATGCTGAATTGAGAGATCGGGCATTATCCCAAGTCCTAGAACAGAGCACTCCAAGGCTCCCCATGACTCTAGGTCCCCCTAGAATTCCCAAATTCTGCCAGTTTTTGCCTTCTCTGACTCCAGCTACCCTCTCCATGTTCCCAGGTGGTCAGCAAGATGGGCCCCCTGCCCTCCTGCCCCCTCCCCATCCTCCTCTTCTTCCTCCCCTCCATTGCCATGGAGGCCCACCCCCCACCCTTGCCACTGCCCCCATTCCCAGCCCCCGAGTGGGACCTCTTGTCCCCCCGAGTAGCCCTATCCCGGGGTGCCCCTGCAGGGCCCCCGCTGCTCTTCCTGCTGGAGGCAGGGGCCTTTGGGGAGTCCGTGGGCAGCCCAGCCAACCGCAGTCGGCGCGGAGTGAGTGAGACGGCGACAGCGCATCGCAGGGGAGAGCTGGCTGTGTGTGACGCAGTCAGTAGCTGGGTGACGGACCGCAGGAGTGCCGTGGACCTGCGTGGACGCCAAGTGGAGGTGCTGGGTGAGGTGCCCGCGGCCGCAGGCGGGCCCCTCCGCCAGTACTTCTTTGAGACCCGCTGCAAGGCTGACAGCTCAGGGGCAGGTGACCCCGGTGGGGCTGGAGGAGGCTGCCGGGGCGTGGACCGGCGTCACTGGTTGTCCGAGTGTAAAGCCAAACAATCTTACGTGCGGGCCCTGACCGCTGATGCCCAGGGCCGTGTGGGCTGGCGATGGATTCGAATCGATACAGCCTGCGTCTGCACACTTCTCAGCCGGACTGGACGGGCCTGAGACCCAAGTCCTGAAATTCAGGAGGCCTACCACAACCATGATGACGAAGAGAACTGGATGCTGAATGACCTCTGGGGGGCAGTCCCACTGCTCTGGGCCTCTAGGTACTTGTCCTGTGATCACAAAATCATAGCTCTCTGACTTGGAGAGTTCAAGGCCAAGCCAGACAGGTGGTGAAACCAAAAGGGGTTTTGAAGGATGGATAGGAGTTCTGGATGAACTTTGAAATGATGATGCTATCCAATATATTCTGAGTACTTATTGTTTATCAACCCCCACCCAACTGCTCAGGTCACCCCTCTGCTAGAGGTGACATTTGGAGGTCCCACCCTGGGCAAGTGATTAGGAGGAGACATCTCAAAGTGGAGGGAAGGCAGGGCAGAATGAAAACCAGAACATCAGTGGCTGGGTTAGCACTGGCCTTTGTAGGAGCACAAGCAAGGTTGAAGAACAGGAGGTCAGGATTCTAGAGTTGGGCTCTGGTCCATGGGACACTGGAGTCAAATGTCTTCCCCTTCCCTATCCCAGCCTTTACTCCATATGGGAAAAGAGGCAAGCCTTCACCTCACTCATCCTTAGCAGGGCATAAAGCTCCAACCACTGGGCTGAAACTTCACAGTGATGGTCTGGAATGGTCCAAGACAATCCAGTAAGAGTTTGAGGGGGTCTAGGATCCCCACGGAGGAGGTCAATAAGATCCCTGAGCAGGCTGCAGAAGGCAGCCTCAGTTCCCCCTGTCTGAACACTGGGCGGTGGGATAAGCTCACTGGGTCTGGAGCAGAGACTGAGGTGGCAGAACCTTGACCTAAAAGTGTTTATTTACTTTGGCTTGGGGGGTCTACACCCGGCAGTGCTCAGGGACTACCGGCTCTCTGCCCGGGAGTGACCCCTGGTGGTTGCTCAGGGGACCACATGCAGTGTGGGGATGGGCAGAGGGCAGCTGCATGCCAAGCAAGGCAAGCACATTAACCCCACCCAAAGATCTTTAAAGGACAGAGTGCCAGGCGAAGTCCAGAAAGACCTCAGATCTGCCAGAACCCTCTCCATATATCACATTGGCGCAGACTTGTTGTACATACACACACACCAGTTTGGGGCTAAAGAAGAACACCCCATCCCCCACTGAGCCCCTTGGTGGGGTGTGGGTGGCAGGGCCGCATAGGAGTAGCTGTGCTCATATTTCTTGTTTTTGTGGGGTTTTTTTGTTTGGGGACCACATCGGCGATGTCCGGGTTACTCCTGGTCTGTACTCAGGAATTACTTCCAGCGGTGCTCTGGGGGCCATACGGGATGCTGGGGATCAAATCTAGGTCAGCACATACAAGGCCAGCACTGTCCCCACTGTATTATCACTCTGGCCCCAGTGGTTCCTACTTCTTATTCTCTTTTTGACTCCTGTCCTTCAGCCTTTCTGTTTGACTTCTGGGTCAGTAGTTTCTGTATGTATTAACTTCTCTCATCAAATCTCCATACATTTTTTGGTGGGGGGCGGTGGGGGAGCTCACATCTGGTGATGCTCAAAGGTGACTCCTGACTCTACACTCAGGACTGATTCCTGGCATTGCTCAGAAGACCATATGGGATGCTGGGGATCGAACCTTGGTCAACCATGTACAAGGCAAGCCACTGTACTCTCCTACCCACTGTACTCTCGCTCCAGCCCCACTTCATACTTTTTGTTTTTTGGGCCACATTCAGTGATGCTCAAACTTCATTCCTGGTGGGGCTCAGGGGACCATAGGGAGTTCTGGGGATAAAACCCAGGTTGGCTGCATGCAAGGCAAATGCCCTACTCCCTGTGCTGTCTCTCCAGCTTCCTTCATGTATTTTATTCTACTAAGAATTTCCCTGTGGGTCCCTCCCTTTCACCCACCCCCTATTCCCAGGTGGAAGTTTTCAACCAAATCAAAGGCAGACAGGACAGCGGGCGGAGCAGCGCTGCCTTCTGCAGACTGGAGGAAGGAGGCTGGGAAGTCTGGAAATCGTTACCCAGGATGGGCAGGGCTGGCAGTGGAAGGAGGCAGCAGAGAAGACTGGGGACCAGGCAGGAAAGTAGGGGGGCATTTCTCATGGATTCCTTGATGCCCTGGGTGGTCTCAACACTCCCACACTGGGTCTATTTCTGGATTTCTAGCCCCCCTCTTTTGGATCTCAGACCCCATGTCTCTGAGTCACTGTCTTCCTCAGCCTGAGTATGGGGGGAGGGGGTTGTCTCTAGAATTCTGAACATCTATTTCATCTATTTCCCCTTCCCTCCCCGCTTTTCTAGCCTCCTCCCTGAGTCCCTCATTTCTTTCAGTTTCTGCTCCTCCTGCTCCCCTGCCCCAGACAGTTCCTCTCCCCGATTCCATCCATCCGCCTGCTGGCTCTCCACTGGCGGAGTTCAGGGTGGGCGGGTTCTGTCACTGGGGCAACAGCAACAACAAGTCGGCTAGTGCCTAGCTGCTGGGGGAGGGGTGGGGCCATGGCAGATCGGACCCTGGCTCTGTGCTATGACCCTGTACGGTCCGCAGTCACTGGGACTCGGATGCCAAAAAGCTGTCACGACTGGCACCTCACCAGTAGTGGTGTAGCCCACCATCTGATCCCACCTATAGGTTTTTATCCAGCTAATGTGCAGGTAAAAAGGACACTAGGAGCGGGCGGGGTGGGGACCAGAAGAGGACTCTCCTAGGGACCAGGAGATTGAGGGCTTGGTCTCCTGTTTGACTGAAGGAGGGGGGTGCTGGAGTCCTGAGCTGGAGAGAGAAAGGGGCCCAGGACCCCGAATACCTGTTTCCTGAGGGAGGAAAGATCCGGGCGGGAGAACAACAAAGACATCAACCTTTTCACTGACATCCACTGCCTTCTCCCCAGTCCACAATTGGGGACCCCCTGCCCCTGGGTGTCAGGCATGATTTGCACGTCTGGGATTTCGACGAGGTCATCAGCAGATGGGAGACAACCTCTGGCAGGGCTTATGAGCACAAGAACCACGGCGGACCGCTGGCGCAGCCCAGGGCCTCAGAGCAGTCGGACCCCAGTCGGACAATGGGAATGAAGGAGTTAAGGGGGAAGGTAAGGGTCTAGGAGGCAGAGGTCTTAGCAGGGATGATAGGGAGGGAGGGAACACCGAGGAATCCTGTGCACCTTCCCGCTGGGATCTTCGTCGCCTTTCGTAGTTCAGGCACGGCTGCTGCAACTTCCCTCTGATCGCCAAGCAGCGGTGCAGTGAGACGAAGGCGCAGTACACCGGCTGGCCCAATGTGGACCCGAGGGTTCCCGCTTCCGTTGGGCTCCAATTCCCGGAGCTTGAGAACGGCCACCGCAGGCGCCTTTCCCAGGTACTGGAGGCAGCAGGAGCGCCGGTTTGCAAATCTTGGAGCTCAGGGTACCGGTTCACCGACAACCCTAGGAGATCCCCGGCGGCACTAAAAGGAATTTTGAGCCTGGGAGTGTGGCTAAGCGGTGTGTGTGTGTGTGTGTGGGGGGGGGGGGTTGGGGGGTGTTAGGGGTGTGTTTAAGGTGGAATAGAAGTATACTGTCCGGGGGGCATGACTAAGAGGAGGGGTCTAGGGGCTGGAGTGACAGTACACCGGGTAGGGCGGTTGCCTTGCACACCGAGAACCCAGGTTCGAGTGCCAGCATCCCATATAGTCCCCCCGAGCACCGCCAGGAGTAATTCCTGAGTGCAGAGCCAGGAGTAACCCCCGTGCATCGCCAGGTGTGACCAAAAAAGCAAGAAAAAAAAGTAGTCTAAAAACCCTCAAATTCTGGGGGCTGGAGTAATAGCACAGCAGGTAGGGCATTTGCCTCACACGCGGCCGACCTGGGTTCAATTCCCAGCATCCCATATGGTCCCCTGAGCATCGCCAGGGGCAATTTCTGAGTGCAGAGCCGGGAGTAACCCCTGTGCATCGCAGGGTGTGACCCAAAAAGCAAAGCAAACAAACAAACAAAAACCCTCAAATTCAATGCAGAGCCCAGGGGCGTGGGGCGGGCCATAGAGCGACCAAGGGGTTGGGTTAGGTGCAGGGCCGGGTGGGCCACTGTTACCGTCAGTTCAGCTGTCACCCTCAGGGTGCAGTTGAGTTTAGCTGTCAGCTCGGGAAGAGGTTTTGTTGCCGAGGGCTGGGCTTTTGAGTTTGATGATGAAAATTGTTTGGATTTTGGAATCGAAGCTAGTCAAGGCGGGCAGGGACCCTTTGGCAGAGGGCTGCTAGGGTGGAAGGCAGGGAGAGGAATTGTCCTTCTGGGGCCCGAGCCCGGGAACAAAGTGACACTCTTTCTTGCTCACTCCCCCATGCACCCATCTTCCCTGGACGAAGAGCCCTGAGCTGGCGGGCCGGGTCTTCAGAGTAAAGGACAGAGGCATTCTGGACCGTCACCAGCCCTATCTCTCCACCATGACCAGGGACTTCCAGCCCTTCTCAGAGTGAGTCTGGTCTGGAGTTTCCATAGTTCCCCCGTTTCCTTCTGGCCGGGTAGCCTCAGCCTCCAGGTGCTGCACCCAAGTCCCTGAAGCTCAGGCACAACTCCCACACCCACCACTTTTCAGCACCAAGAGTCTGTCATAGCAACTGGCAGGAACTTAAAACCCGCAGGACTGGGGGTGGGGGTAAGTTCAGGACCTACGCACAGTGCCCTCAGGATTTAGGTGGCTCCTCAGAATACCCCTTTCCTCAAAAACTCCAGATTCCAGGCCCTTGCATGCTGTGGAAACCCAGACATTCGCTTTGAACCTGCACCCTGAATTTCTTACCGGGTCTACTTTTATTTATTTTTTGGGGGGGCACAACCAGTAGTTCTCAGAGCTTACTCCTGGTGTGGATTCAGGGGAACCATGTGCAGTGCTGGCGACTGAACCCGGGTCAGCTGAGTCCAAGGCAAGCGTCCTTCCCACTGTCCTATCACTCCCCAAGGATTGAGCACTGTAGCCTTGGGTGGGGAAGCTGAGGTCTGAGCCTCAGCTGGACAGAGAGTCTAGCAGTGCCCTCCTGACTCCACCTCCTGCAGGAAGGAACTGTTGGAATCCCCCTTCAGGGAGTCGCCGGCAGCCCGCGCCTGGGCCCTGGAGCAGCGGCTGTCACAGCACTCCTGGCTAGACCGCCCGCTGGGTATCAGCGCCAGTCGGGTTGGGCCTGTGGGGCCGGTGGTGCCGCACCGCGGGGCGTTGTCTGAGACTCGGGAGGCCTTTGGGCCCCCAGTGCCCCCTCTCCACCGGCCCAATCTACTGTGCCCACTGACGCTGCCCTGGGGCAGACTCCACTGGAACCCGGTGCTGGGCATCCACAGCGTGCCGCACGCCTACAGCACCGAGAACTCGCAGTATGGCAGCTCCCGGCCTGCGCTAATCTGAGCTGGCCCGGCGTGGCCGGACCTGGCTCCTCTGGGCAGCAGGAGCGACAGGTTGTGGGCGGGAAGAATCCTGCATCTGCCCATGTCCAAGGCCCGCGTGGACCCGCGGAGTCTCCCCCGCGTTAAACAGTCTCCACCGCACTCTCCCTTCGCTGGGCTCGGCTTTGGAGGGGCCTGAGCGCGTGCGTGGGAGGGGACGACAGAGAGCCGTGGGGACCCCTGCTGGAACTGGGGGCATGTCTGATCCTCACTCCTGTGCACGGAAGATACCGTGAAGCCACGCCCCGCCCGCAGGGTTAGCACAGGAGTAAGGTTTCAGCCAGGCAGGTGGCTCGGGAGTTCAGGCTTCTGTCATTATGCCGATTCCGGGGCTTTCAGGACCCTGGGTCCCACCCACCACCGCTGTGTAGGGCCACAGCATGACGCCACCCTGAGCTTCCCACACCCCTTTTGCTCTGTAGCACCTCCCTAGCCCCCCATGGACAATCCCCCAAGTCGGCATCCCCCACTCCTGCAGCTGCCTCCCTCCCTGCCCTTGGCTGAGCGCTCTCGCCCCCGGGGGATTAGTGTCCAGGTTACCCAGTCCCGGGGTGGCCTTGGCGCCCCCACAGCTTGCAGGTATAAGGCCAGGGCCACTGCCTAGGGGAAGAACCAGGATGGAATCGCTTCAGGTAAATGGTGGGGCAGGGGGCCATATGGAGAAGGGGCACAGTCAACAGGCTTCCTGATGGTGGTGGCCTTAGGGGCAGGAATGCTTGCTTTGACACTTCCCTTCTGTATGAGAACCCGGGTCGGGTCGGGGTGGGCAGGCAGGAGGAGGCATGAGGCTAGGGTACTGTGGTGCCCAGACGGGACACAAAGGAGTGAGCCTGGGCTCAGGACGGAGGCCTCAGGCTGCCCCTGAGGCCCTGGCCTGGTCCCAGGGCCTGCTGCTGGGTCTGCTGCTGGCCATGGGCACGGGTGGGGCATGGGCCTCCAGGGGGCCGCTGCGGCCACTGTGCCAGCCCGTCAATGCCACACTGGCTGCCGAGAATGAGGCCTGCCCCTTCTGCATCGCCTTCACCACCACCATCTGCGCCGGCTACTGCCCCAGCATGGTGAGCAGCACCTGGGGCACCCCCGGCTGGGAAATGTGGAGGGGAGGGGAAGGCAGGGGGGCTCGGAAGGCCTGTTCGCCCGCCCCTGCTCATGCTGTACCCTCTGCCCCATGGCCTCCAGGTGCGCGTGCTGTCAGCAACCCTGCCACCGGTGCCCCAGCTTGTGTGCACCTACCACGAGCTGAACTTCGCCTCCATCCAGCTCCCCGGCTGCCCGCCTGGCGTGGACCCCACGGTCTCCTTCCCCGTGGCTCTGAGCTGCCGCTGTGGGCCCTGTCGCCTCAGCAACTCAGACTGCGGGGGACCCAGGGCCCAGCCCTTGGCCTGTGAGCACCCCCTCCTCCCAGACCTCCTCCTCCTCTGAGGACCGCATCGTCCCCTCCCCAAGCCCCCAGGCCCACTCTAAATCCCAGAGACAGCAGATAGTGTCCCAGCACCCCCAATAAAGGCCTCTCCAACTGCACTCTGGGTGTCTTGTCTTCGGGCTCCAGGTGGCCACACATGGCCACACATGCACGCACCCACAAATCCAGTGTCAGAACCATTTTATACAAAGTCAACAACAGAGCTACGGTAGAAAACAGGAGCCGGGTAGGTGGGGGCAAGATGCCATAGGCTCATGATGTGTCCATGGTTTCGCCTTCTGTGAAGACAAAGAAAGGCCTCTGGTCAGCGTGGCCTAGAGGGCAGAACCTGGGGGGAGGTTGGGGACATGACACTCACTTAGTTCATTGAAGAGGAAGGCGTCCTGATATTCCTTCATGTACTGCGTGGAGCGTGACTCATCCAGAAAGAGCGAGTATACCCGTTTGATGTCATCCACCTGCACCTCTGTGCCCTGTGGGGGGGGTGTGTGGGAAAAAGCAGGCTCGGAGGGGCCCCCTCCCTGGGGGCCTCTCTGGACCCACTCCCCAAACTGTGTGCCCAGTTCCCAGCTGCTGTCCTATGAGCTGGACTTGTGTGAAGGGGTATTTGCACAGGGCATCTCCGTGTTGGGCCAGGGGCACCCCTGGACCCAGTAATAAGTCTCGAGGGAGTGGGCAGGGGGGTCTCTAGTGCTGGGCCCCGAGGCTAACCTTGCGCTTCCGGCACACCAGGCTGGCAGCCGTGATGAGCTGGATGGCGTAGCGTAGGGATGTCTCCAGGCCGATGCGCGTTAGCACCGTGTACGCATCCTCACTCATCTCCACATCCTCCTCCTCGCACCTGTAGGGGGTGCAGGCTCAGAGCCAGAAGAGCCACTGAGGCCCAGCCAGCCCACCCCCAGGCTGCCACCTGACCCTGTCCCAGCACCCCTCCAGCCCACGCTGGCCCACAGGCCCGGGTCCTCGGAGCTCAGGCCACACCGGATTCGGAGGATCTGCTTGGTGTCCTTCTCGCTGTAGGGGGTTGTGGAGACGATAAGCAGGCGGTCCAGCAGGTCGATGGGGATACCGTGGGGGCTCTGGTAGCTGGTGCCCCGGATGCTGCGAGGGGGTGGGGAAGGAGGGCTGTCAATGGGAGTGTCCCCCCAAAACAGGCTCTTCCAACCCTGTCCGGGGAATCCCCAGCCTGCTCACTGGACCTGAGACACGTGACCTTCACCTCAGGGCCACTGTCTGCATCCCCTGGCTGAACCTGAACTGGTGGGCTAGTTAGCAGCTCTCCAGGACCAGGATTACCCACGCGAAGGTTCCCAGGGAAAGGGTCCGGGCTCCTGACCCGCAGGTGACGCCCCAGCCTGAGCAGACCCGAAAGCTGGCCATAGGGAGATTGTCTGCGAGCCCCCAGGAGCCTCCAGCTCCCTCTCCCCTGCAGGACAGCCGACCATGCTCCATGGTGGGGGAGCTGCCGTGGCCCATGATGTGCCGCCTCCGGATCACTCCCCAAGAGCTCAGAGCATTTGTTATTATTTGCTGCTGGGGATGAGGGAGCCTCAGCTGGGAACTGCAGCTTAAGGGGTTACAGAAGCAAAGGCCACAGAAAGAACACGAATCCAGGTCACAGTGAATGCTATTTGGGGGATCTGCCTTGTTGCTGAGGGTTGCTATGGGCAGTGCTCGGGGACTGTGAGGTGGCAGGGGTGGAAGCCAGGCCTCCCAGCATGCACAGCTTCAATGCATGAGCACCCTCACAACGTTCTGGAACATTTCATGGATCTGAAGGCACAGGACATCCTCTGGGCTAGGCCACGGCACGGTACCCCAGCTCAACCTGTAACCTGCCTGGCCAACGTTCCTGGTGTACCCCAGTGCCACCCCTGTTGTCCATCTCTTCAGGGGCTCACCGGGTGATGCCACGGTTGGTGGCCATGATCAGGACAGGTGCCATGTCACTCTCCAGGGCCCGGTTGAGGAAGGAGAAGCTCTCGATGTCCAGCATATGCACCTCATCGATGAATAGCACCTGGGAATCCAGAGAAGGGGCCAAAGTCAGTCCCTGCTCCCAATGGGCCTCCCACCCAGGGTCCCCCACATCCCTTCCCTGGGCACTCACGCCAGGGATGATCTCTGCCTTGCCCTCCTCACGCCACTCGGCCACCTTGGCATTAATCTGCTCGCGGACCTCGGATTTGATCTCACCAGTGTCGCCTAGGGGTGGTGGTGGGGTCAACAAGAGGCCAGGGACAGAGTGGGATGTCGAGAGGACAGGCCAGGGGCCTGGGAGCCTGCCAGGGTGGTAGAGCAGGGAGGGGAGACGGGTGCAGTGAGGAGGCCAGGGAGAGCCTCACCTGAGAAGAGTGCCAGGAAGCCCTGTGTGCGCGAGTTGATGACGTCAATCTCATGTAGGGACACGGTGTGCACCACCTCCTTGCGCTTCTGCAGTTCCCCATCGGGGCACTGTACAAACTTGGTCTGGAGAAGGAGGACAGGATGTCAAGGGCAGACAGGTACTGGGGGAGAGGGAGAAGTTCTGCTTTTTTCTTTTTTTTGGTTTTGGGGTCACACCCACTGGTGCTCAGGGATACTCCTGGAAGGGCACAGGGAACCCCACGGAATGGAAGGGACTGAACCCAGGTTGCCAATGTGTGAGGCAAGTACATGACCTCAAGGCAGCCAGCCGTGGGCTTATACTGAAGTCCCAGGCCTCACAGAGACAGTTAAGATCAATAATGTTCAAAAGCAGTGAAGGTTATGGGGAATCCTGGAAGACCCCAGAAGCCAGAAACCATGGACATGGTACCACCTCCCAGTGCTTCTGAGGGATCTCGAGGGGGTCCCAGGGAACAATGTGGAATGCCAGAAACCTAGGGGTGGGGCGGTAGGGTACCCCGGAGCACAGCGCACCTGCGAGCCCATGGCGTCATAGTCACGTGCACGTGTGAATGAGCGTCCCAGCTTGGAGATCTTGCCTGTGGCCTTGTCGATGGTGATCACGTCCCTGCCAAGGGGTGTGTGTGTGAGGGGGGCAGGCGTCAGAAAAGGAAAATGAGGGGAGCCTCAGCCCCAGTGCTCGGCCTACAGCTGCTACTTACCCAGCCTGGACCTTGTCCTTGGTCAGTGACTCGATCATCTTGGTGCCCAGGTCATAGATGGTCTCCATCTCCGTGGTCTTCAGGGTCAACTTGCCCACTTTGGATCCCTGGGCAGGGGGCAGGGACAGTGACTAACGGAGCTTCCCTCTGGGGTGACAGAAACCTAATCTGGGGAAAACACTGGGAAGGACCCCATGGCAGCCAAGCACCCACTTCTTTTTGTTTTGGGGGGCCACACCCAGCAGTGTTCAGGGGCTACTCCTAGCTCTATGCTGTGGGGGTTGCTCCTGGTTCAGGGGGACCATGCAGTGTTGGGGACAGAGCAGGGCCCCCTGCTTGCAAAGCCTGTGCCCCCACCCACTGAGCTCTCCTGGGCCCAGGCACACAGCTGTTTCATTTGTTTCTGTTTTATTTTCTAAGAAAACACTTCTCAACTTGGGGAAAAGGGGAGTGAATCGCCTCTTGCAGATAAGGGTGCCTTCAGGCATGAAGCTGTTAAATCCCACAGAACAGGTTTTTAAGGCTGTACAGCATGATTCAAAGAAGCTTCTAGACCTCTCTCTCCACCCCACTACTGCTCTCTGGGTCTTCATGAATGTGTCAGCTCAGCTGTGGCTCTGCCTTGAGCATATTCATAACCCAAGCCTGCAGCTGGAACCTTTCCTGGAAGCTGATCTGGGGTAGAGGGGCCCCTTTCTCCAGATCCCGAGTTGGGAGCACACTCACCGTCCCCGTGGCTGGCCGATCGATCTGGATCTCCACCACCTCCCCTTCAATGATCTCTGTCTCCTCCCTAGCCAGAGAGCAGGTCTGAGGGGAGAGCCTTGGCCCGAGCCCCCCAAGGTCGCCGACTCCCATGAGCTCTTGCAGCAGTCAGGACAGCCCCCAGCTGAGCTGGAGTGGCACCCAGCAGCTGTAGGGTCCAGCTTACTTGATGCGCACGCCGATGGACCTCCGGAAGGCCTGCGTCAGTGCCTCTGTCTTGCTCATCTCCAGGGAGAAGATCTCACTGCCCGCGATGGCAGTGAATGGGGTGTCAGGGCCCAGGGCCTGCGCCATGCCTGGGGAGGAGGAAGTCTGGGCAGGTGAGGTGCCCATGGCCCCAGGTGGCACCTACTTGGCCACAAGCCATAAAGGGGTCACACAGGAGACACCCACACCGCCCCAACTCTCTGACCACCCCAAGCAATCTCCCAACCCCTAGAAGCATGGTAGTGACAAGTAAGGGTGCCCTGTCACAGCCCTGAGCCCTGCCCTGCTTCTCTCTCCCTCCTCAGGGCCCTGGCAACTCTGAACCAACCCTAGGCAGGAAGTCGGTAATCCCTGAGGGACAGTGTGCACTGTGGCCTCTCTCCAGGCCCCTTCCGCAGTGCCCCCGACAATGCCTGCAGACCACCTGATCCCACCTCTATGAGCCTCCCATATACCCAACAAGTTTAAACCTTCCCCAAGGGTCAGCAGACAGCTTCCCTTGGAGCAAAGGTCACTCTGGCAGGGACCAGGCCCACAGCAGGTGCGAGGTCTATCACCTGGGTATCCGGAGAGAAGCCCCTGCCCCTTCACTGAATGCTTGGTTGTTCCCTTTCTTCAACACTGCCTGGCCCCACTGAGCATAAAAGTGGGTGTGAGTCAGGTTTTGAAGGATGTGCATGAGTTCAAAGAGGATGAAGGAAAAGCATCAATAAAAAGAGCTTAGGGGCCAGAGCAATAGTATGGGCGGAGGTGGGTAGGGGTTTGCATGCAACTGACTTGGGTTCAATCCCCAGCATTCCACAGGGTCCCCTGAGCACTGCTAGGAGTGATTCCTGGGCTCTGAGTCAGAGTTAGCCCTGAGCACCACTGAGTGTGGCCCAAAAACAAAAGAGCTTACATTGCTTGTAGGTTATAAGAGATTGTTACTTGTCTACTCAATTAATGCCCATATTCCTTATATGGAGCTCTCCATTTATAAGCAACAGTCCAAATTTAAATTTAAAAAAATGGGGAGTCAGAATTATAATACAGTGGGTAGGGCACTGGCCTTGCACGTGACCAACCAGGGTTTGATCCCTGGCACCACAAATGGTCCCAAGTCCACCAGAAGTGAACCCTGAGCAGAATGCTTGGTGTGCCCCCCACACAAAAGAAATTTGGGCGACTCCTGACACTGTTCAAAGGACCACGCAATGGTGAGAACAGAACCTGGATCTCCTGCAAGCAAAGCATGTGCTCAGTGTAGAGGTGACTCTGGTGGAAATGTCATATGGTCCCCAGCCCCACCTGAGCACAACAGGAAGTAGAGCCAGTAGTAAGCCCTGAACACAGCCATTGGGGGGATTCCAAAATTTGGGGGACAGAGTTCAGGGATTAAAGGTGCTTGCTTTGCATTCCACTAACCTGATTTGAATCCCTGGCATCTTTTTTTCCCCCCTCTTTTTGGATGACACCTGGCGATGCACGGGTTACTCCTGGCTCTGCACTCAGGAATTACTCCTGGCGGTGCTCAGGGGAACATATGGGATGCTGGGAATCAAACCCAGGTCAGCCGCATGCAAGGCAAACATCCTATCCCCTGTGCTACTGCTCCAGCCTCCGAATCCCTGGCATTTTATATGATCCCCCTGAGCTATAGCAGAGCACCTGAGCAAAGTCAGGACGAGCACCTGAACCCAGGTGTGGCTCAAATGCCCGCAGTCTTCAAGATGTTCTAATGTCTCAGTCAACTTTTGCAACAAGTGGCACCCTATAATTACTAGCCAATGAACTATCAACAAGAATGGGTAGGAGTTCCCTCTAGGAGAAACACACTCATTGAAATTCCTCCTCCCCATTCTCTACCACACAGATTATAGCTGGGAAGGCTGGTGCTAAGGCAATCTTCTGGAAACATGAAATCAGCCTGACCTGCAAGAACAGAGGACGATGCGGGTGGGAAGGAGAGGAGGATGCTTACCAAGCCCTGACTGACCTACATGAAGCTTCTTCCATACCCCGCGGTTACTGGGGAACAGTGTGCTCTGCGGGAGCTATGACCTCTCTTCCCTGGCCTTTACACTTGGAAGAAACAGATGACACAGGGATTGTGCAGGCCTTGTGGTCTCAGTGACCCAGACAGTTGGAGATGGGATTCTGGGCGGAGTCCAGGCGAGCACCCAGCAGGCTCTTACCCATGGCGATGGCTGTCTTTCCCGTGCCCGGCTGGCCGGCGATGAGGACCGCCCGTCCCGCAATCTTCCCCTCACGGATCATCTCCAGCACCACACCGGCCGCCCGTCGCGCTGCCAGCTGCCCCACCATGCCCTGGGAAGCCTGTGGGAGCAGGAGCATGCGGTGACCATCTACCACCTCCCAGCCACCAAGAGCCTGGGGTAAAGCCTTCTCTACCTTCAATTTGAGGGGTATGGATGCCCTGAGCAGTCCGGGGACCCTCCCCGTGACTCTTGGCCAACTAGGCTGGCAGGTGAGTGCTGCAGTGCCAGAGAAATTCCCTGGAGGTCACCCCAGAGTTATTCGTGGTACCACAGGCAAGGCACATGCCTATCCTATAGCCCGGGCCTCTTCCACCCCAATTTTCCAAAGTTCAATAAAACCCCCATCTGTGGCTAAAAGTCTGGAAGAACACAACATAGTCCCCACGCCCCCCAAGGCTGCAGTCCTTCCCACCAGGACACCCCACTCTCACCTGCCGTGGCTCCAAGGCATCGTCCAGCCCCAGTCCCCGGATGTGCGAGTGGGCCCCTGTGTGCAGGAAAGAGCCAGAAGTCACGGCCGGGGACAACGGCACCCTGAGGAGTGGGGGGTTTCCCTCCTGGCCTCCTTTGCCAGAAGGCGAGGGTGGGGGGGGGCGATCCCCCACCTTCTGAGGAGCAAAGCCAGACCTGGTAAATATCCACAAACCAGAGCATCCCCAGGGCATGTCATGGCAGGACCCAAATCCCTAAGGCTTGGTTGCCATATAACTCAATCAGGTACCAATCGAGTCAGGGCTGGAGCCATAGTACAGCGGGAAAGGTGCTTGCCTTGCATGCAGCCAACCCGGGTTCAATCCCCGTTATCCTGTATGGTCCTCTGAGTCTGCCTAGAGTGATTCCTGAGTGCACAGCCAGGAGTTACCTCAGTGCACTCCCAGTTGGCCCAAAAACAAAAGAAAGAAATAAAAGGGGGCGACAGTTAAATCAGGTTGGGTGTTTGCCTTGCCTGTGACCTGGGTTCAATCCCCAGTATGCCATATGGTTCCCCGAGCACCACCAGGAATGATTCCTGAGTGTAGAGCCGCCAGGAGTAAGCCCTGAGCATTACAGGGTATGAACCACCCCCCACCCCTAGAAAAAGAAAAAATGAAAAACTAACCCAGTCAACCAGCATCATCACTTTGTGTTGACACTACAGAACCCCAAGCAGTCTCAAAGACTAATTTAGCTCCACGTTCCCCTAACAAGAAACAAGATCACCAGAAACCGGGGTTCTGAGTGCGCCAAGGGCTCATATCTGGGGTCGGGTCTCCAGGCAGGAGCTCAGAGAGGTTAGGTCTCCTGCCCATGACACACAGCAAGTGAGAGATGCAGACACGGGATTTGGGGTCTTTGATGAAACCAGGGCAAATGACTGTCTGCAGGCCAGCAGCAGCTTTTGTGAATCATCTGACTAGACACAGCCACTCCCAGTCACACACTGACTGGTCTATATCTGCTTCCTTTAACAAGGTGACATTCCCTCCCTAGGGCTAAGACTGCAGGAGGCCCAAGGGATGGAGCAACAGTACAGCCAGGAGGGCGTTTGCCTTGCATGCATCTGACCTGGGTTTAATTCCCTGCATCCCTTATGGCCCCCTGAGCATCGCCAGGAGTAAGCCCTGAGTATCCTCAGGTGTAGCACACCCCCACCAAAAAAATTTAAAAAAGAAAAAAGACTGCAGAAGGCACCCTACACAATTCCTGAGCACTGAGCCAGGAGTAGCCACCAAGCACTGACAGAAAAAAGCAAACAGAAAATCTCTCTTACACACACACACACACACACACACACACACACACACACACACACACGCACCCTGGTTGACATCCCCTCCCCCAGCTTGCCTGGAAACATGCGGAGGGCAGGGACTGGACAAGGTAAAGCCGTATGACAAAGTATCCAAAACAACTAAGGAGGGCAGCTGAAAGGAGGAATATTTCCATGTTTCCTCTTTGTTTGCTTAAAGAATATAGGTTCCCAGGGGCAATGAGTTTGTTTGTTTGTTTGTTTGTTTTCCTGAAAAGAGAGTGGTAGACTAGGTAGGTTTCAAAACCTCTTTCTTAAATTTTTGGGTGCTTTTTAATTTTTTTGTGGGGAGGTGCTCTTACTGCAGCCTGAGATCTCTGGGCTCAACGGGGCTGTGTCTCAGCAGTGCCTGGAACCAGGAGGGAAGCAAACCTGACTCCAGCTTGCGAATAAGGTAGCCTGGCTACAAGAAGCATCATCACTTTGTGTTGACGTTACAGAACGAGCACTGCATACGTCTGGGGTCTCCACTGCCAATCCCAGAGTCCTTTATAAGTGTTCTCAGAGGTGCTGAAGGAACCAATGAATGAATGAGTGCAAACTCTGGTCTCCTCTCCCTGGGAGTCATTGTCTCTGGAAGGGGGACCAACAGCTGGCCCTGCTATTTCCTTAAGTCCTGCTCTGGAATCCGGGTCACAGGGATAGATAGTGCTGAGTCATGGTGACCTCAGCTGAGACCGGCTGGTCAGAAATGCGTCTCATGGGGCAAGTGTGAGGAATCTGTAGCTTCCTGTGCAGCATCGGCCTTGCCAGGCCCAGCACTGCAGACACAGCTGGGAGTGATGCCAGTCAGTCCCTGTCTTCCTGCAGTGGGCACTGGGTGCATGGAACATCCAGTTTCAAGTTGCCCCAGGGAGCGCTCAGTGACAGCTGCTTTTCTTACTTCCAGACAGGCCAGGACACTTGGGGACCCCAGCAGTGTTGTGGCGCCCCCACAGGGCAGCTCATCTACTTGCAACTCAAGACTCCCCTCTCCATCACAGGAGTCAGGACGCAGGCCTCTGGGCAGGCAGGGGCCAGGCTTGGTCCCTCATTCATTCTCACTCACCAATCCGCTCGATCCTCGTCACATCTCGGATCTCTGGTACCTTGGTCGTGGCTGGCTGGGGAGGAAGCCGACCCATTTTAGAAGTGATCATGATTTGGGGGCGAGAACAATAGTACAGCAGGTAGGGCGTTTCCTTGCACACAGTCAACCTAGGTTTGATTCCCAGCACCCAACTGGTCCCCCAAGCACTGCCAGGAGTAATTCCTGAGTCCAGAGCCAGGAGTAACCCCTAAACATTGCTGGATGGACCCACACAAATACAAAAAAAAAAAAAACCTAACAAAACAGAAAGTAATCATAAATTTCACAGATTCCCCCTCAGTCCCCAGCCTATCTTCCATGACAAAAGTCCGCCCAAAGGCAGGATGAGGGACCCCATGCCAGTCACCCCCACTCTGTCGTCAACTAGTGTGAACAGATGATTCTACACCCTTAGGATCCAGGACGACCAGTTGTACCAATTGTACAGTCGCGGGGCTCCCTCACAATTCTGCACACCACTAGCACTGCTGGACTGAGCGCATAAGTCCGGGATTCTCTGCTTCTTTTTGGCTTAAGGGCTTCACCCTGCAGTGCTCAGGACTCGCTCCTGGTGGTGCTAAGGGAACCATACATTGGTTGGGATCATACCTGGGCCTCTTAAATGACGAGTTTGCACTCCAGCCCACTGTGCTCTCTCATGGATCCCTACCCAGGAACAATCCTCCCACCCCCATAATTTCAAGGACTCTGTGGCTGCTCTCTAGCTACACAAATTAGGTACCCTGTGATCCAGTCCGGCAAAGGGCCTGGTCCCCCCAACACCAACAGGAATAATCCTTGAGCACAGAGCCATAAGTAAGCCCTGAGCACAGTCAGGTATAGCCCAAAACCAAGAATGGAAAAAAAGAAATCAAAATAGCCCAAAGGTGGAAACCACCCCAACAATCCAAAATGAACGAATGAACATAAGTGTGGGGACAAGGCCTAATAACAACAGAGTATCACTCAGCACCAAAAAAGAACAGACACCGATGCCAGCGATACCGCAGCTGAGCTGCTGCCCCCAAAACCTGCCGAGTCACAGAGCTCAGACAGGAAAAGTCACATGCTCATTTTATTCACAGAAAATACCAACTGATAAGCCAGGAGACAGTCTATTAGTGGCTGTCCAGGCCTGACGGTGATGGGAAGGGTTTGACGGTGACAATCCAAGACACTGCAATCCGTATTAAACTGGAGGATACCGGATTCCAGAATTATCCAGGGGTCTGGAAGTGGGAGTTTGCATACCTAGAGGTCCCACCACTATCTACCACTGGCACCCTTGGGATCCGGGACAACATCCTTTTCTACAGTTACGGGGTCCCACCCCCTCTACCCCTCCTCTCTCAGCCCTAGGAGTGCACACCCCAGCCTCTTCCCGCAGACGCAGTGGTCCGGGAGCCCATTGCCCTCTCCCTCAGACTCAGGGCTCCCAGTCTCTCAGACACGAGGGCACGTCCCCGCCCTCTCCTTTCTCAGCTCCTCAAGTCCAGACCCCTACCTCCTGCTCCCTCTGACCCAGGAGTCCGGGCCCCCAGCTCCTCCTTCAGTTCCGGTCCCCCAGTTCCTCCTCCCTCCGCCCCAGCATTTCAAGCCCCAGCTCCTGCTCCCTCAGATCCACAAGAGCTAGTTCGTTTCCATTTCTCAGCCCTCCGCATGCCAGCACTTACCACGGTTGCCATGATGCTCACTAACCGCCAATATCCTAACGGAAACGGAAACGCGCGCTAGCAATGAGGCGTCCCGGCCCCTCTAGACTGCCAGGTCCTCCAGAGCTCTCCTCTCAGTGGTTTCTCCTAAATACACAAACTCCCCCTGCGTGGGGCGGGGCCCCGCCCACTCCCCGAGGCGGAGCTGGAAGGCGGAGCGTCGGTTACTAATGTCTCCTGGCTCCTCCTCCTTTTACCCAGGCCTCCTTGCTGAGCCCGATTGCAAAATTCCTCACACTTCTTAGGGTAACCACACGTCCCCCACGCTCCCTTTTCATCAGGATTCCACCCTCAGCCCTCCCCACAAAGATGCTGCTCTCCAGGTTCGGATTGACGGAGCTGGGAGCCAATCGACTAGCTCAGCGGTCGGCCCCGCTCCCCAGAGCCCAGCTCATTTGCTGAGGCGGTGGTGGGGCAGAGGGAATCCCTGTCCGTCCACCAATGAGCGGACGTGTGAGCCCCCGCCCCCAAGATGGGACCAATGGCGTTAGCCGGGGAACGGGCACCGCCTCCTGGCGGCTGCAAGGTTTCACTGCAGGGGCCCGCTTGGGTTCAGTGACGCTGCGGCTGCCTCCTGCCTGTGTCCGAGGTCTCCGGGCGGGGGGGGTGCGGTCGTGCAATAGGAAGCCAAGGGCATTGCAAGCTTCCCGTTGAGCACCGGCTCAACTTCGCGCCCTGCGCGGTGCATTCCTTCGACACCTCCCGGGCCCCCACCTGTGGCCCCCCGGAGTCCCACTCTCACGTCGGCCATGCCTTTAAACCGCACTTTGTCCGTGTCCTCACTGCCAGGACTGGAGGACTGGGAGGATGAATTCGACCTGGAGAATACAGTGCTCTTCGAGGTGGCCTGGGAGGTGGCCAACAAGGGTGAGATGGCCAGGCAGAGGGGCACTCAAGCGGGGCAGGCGGGGCTGGGGGTCTGGAACTCTTGATAATAGGGGAATGGGACCGTCTGGCGTGACTCTCGGATCCTAGGCAAGGAGCCTGTGACTCCTGTGCCCTTGGACAGGGTCTGAGGTATGTTTGGGGCCCGGGCGGAGGGGATGAGAGCCTGGCTGTTAAAGATAAAAGGACCCTAGAAGTAAGGGGCACTGGGTGCTGAGGGCTGGAATGAAGGATTCCTGGATCCTGGAGGCTGGGATGGAGGCTTTTCCTTGTGCCAGCCTGGGTAAGGGGCTGAACCTCAGAACCGGCCCCCTGGGGAAGTTGAGGAGGATCTGGGGCTGTTACCCCAGATTTGGAGCAAGACTGTAGGAATGTCTAAGTTGTGCTGGGGAACTTGGGGAATTGGTTGCTTGAAAAAAAAAGGGGGAGGAGGCCGGAGACCCCAGTTCTTAGATTTGGGGGTGAGAGAGTGGACGCCTTGGCTCGGAAGGAGCTGAGGGCCTGACAATGGGCTGGGAGGAGTATCCGAGGCCCGTGGCTCACGCACATGCCTTGTGGAACAGCCAGGCTGGGAATTCCTAAGTTGATCAGGGGCTGGGCCCTGGAATGGGTGTGGCCGAGGGGCCTGGATTTCTGCGTCCTGGGCCCCAGGAGGCCTGAGGTTCTTGAAGAGGCTGGCACCAGGCAGGCACTCAGAAGTCTAGCCCCTGTGGAAGGGGAGCAGGGCAGAGTCTGGACTGGAAAGGCCCGGAGAGCTAATGTTAAGCAGGTTGGGTGGGGGCCCAGGTCCCAGGGTCTGGAGCTGAGTCCTTGGAGGGGCAGTTCCCTGCACGCCTTGCCCACAGTTGGGGAGAGGACACTGGGGAACAGGTCGGCAGAATCCCTGGGGGGTGAGGAATGACAATTCTGGCTTTTCTTGGGCAACCAAGAGAAGGAAAAGCTAAAGAGAGTCACGGAGTTTCCTCTCCTGTGTCCTAGTGCCCGTTCTGTCCCATAATCTAACCTCTCATAGAAATCTAGTCCTGGTAACCAACATCATCCTTGGGGCCCCAGGCCCTAATGATCAGACCTAGGTGTCCCCCTCCCCCCACCCGGAGTAGCCCCTAGACTCAGTCTGAAAAGTCTTGGGGCCGGGATGTGCTCAGCCAAGCACTGGCCTCGCACATGTGAGACACGAGCTTCAATCCCTGCACGCAAGAAAGCAAAAAAAAAAAAAAAAAACCTAGAAATCTAATAAAGCCCTTCTTTTGTCAGAATCTCAGCCTCAGGCCCCACTTCCACCCAGGAGGCCACCCCCCAGCCTCCTCTCACTGTGAAGCTTGGCTCCCCACTTCCTCATCCCCCTAAGCCAGAGTTTCCCGGGACCCCAGCACCAACCCTGACTGAGTTCCCTGACCAGAGGGCCCCATGCAAGGGACCACACTCACCCCCTTGGGCCCACAGTGGGTGGCATCTACACCGTGCTGCAGACCAAGGCGAAGGTGACAGGGGACGAGTGGGGTGACAACTACTACCTGGTGGGACCCTACACGGAGCAGGGCGTGCGGACTCAGGTGGAAGTGCTCGAGCCCCCCACCCCGGCCCTGAAGAGGACCCTCGACTCCATGAATAGCAAAGGCTGCAAGGTGGGCATGGCCTGGGCACAGGGGAGCAGCAGAGAGGAAATGGGTGGGCAGGGAGGGAGGAGTGGGAATGTGGGAGGAGCCAGACCTTCCCGGACTAGCCAATAGCAGGGGCCCTGGGAATTGGGGGTACACTTAGACTCCAGGACCCAAGTGAAGGGACAGACAGTAGGTCCCAGACAGCCTGAGAAATGGGTCGAGGGGTCTGGGAGGTGGGCAGGCAGCCAGAGGAAGGGTGAAGTTCAGGTTCACATTTGGCTTCCCCACTTCCTGCGCCCATGTGACCTTGGCTGCTAGCATTCATTTGGCTTCTCCACATCCCTCCCCTGTGGCCCTGTGACAGTGTGACGGCATTTACCTTTTAGGGTTCTTGGGAAAATGAAATATTTTGTCTTCCATCTAGTTTCACATTGAGGTTAGAGACTCGTTATCTGTGTCTTCTTTCTCCTTCTCTACTTCCGAGGGGACAGAGAGAGACACAGTGTCCCCAAAAGTGATTGTAGCCTTAGGAGCTAGAGCAGGAGAAAGATTCAGATACAGAAGAGAGGGGCTGGAGCGATAGCACAGCGGGTAAGGCATTTCCCTTGTATGCAGCCGACCTGGATTCGATTCCCAGCATCCCATATGGTCCACTGAGCACCACCAGAAGTAATTCCTGAGTGCAGAGCCAGGAGTAACCCCTGTGCATCAATGGGTGTGACCCCTCCCCCCCTCAAAAAAAAAAGCAGATACAGAAGAGAAGCTGCTTTGTGTCTCTGAGAGAAAAATTCAGAAGAGAGAAAGAGAGATTACTGATGAAGGCGGAGGGAGTAGGGACTGGTTACATAGTCCCAGGTGATAGAATTGGGGGTGGGCACAGTGAGGCTTGGCGGAGGAGCAGGGAGCGGCCCAGAACACCTAGAGAGGTCAGATGATGGGGCACATGAAAGGGCCTACAACCTGGGGAGAGTAGGGGGGCTGCAGGGCCAGACTTGCGGGGAGCCCTCACTGGTTCAGCCTTCCCAGCCTCTGGTTTGCTGGAGGTCAGAACCACAGTGCTAGTACAGCAGGGAGGGCATTTGCTTTGCACGAGGCTGACCCAGGTTTGATCCCCAGCATCCCATATGGACCCCAGAGTCCACCAGGAGTGATCTAGAAGCACAGAGGCAGGAGTAAGCCCTGAGCACTGCTGAGCGTGGCCCCCAAATGAACAAACTAAATTACCAGCCTCTGGTTTCGGGTGGGGTCTGGAGTGAGGACAGCCAGCTCAAGTCCCCAAGGAACCTGAGGTCAGCCCAGCCCTCCTCCATGGCAGCTGCTCCCCACGTGCTGGGGCCCTAAGAATAGCCCCCCCAGTAAAAGGGCAGATAACAGCTGGCAGGGGGGAGGGGCTCCTTAGCTGGGAAAAGCCAGATTGGGGAGGCTCCCAGCTCTCAGGAGGAAAGGCGGCCATCAGAGACCTGTGACAGGGGCAGAAATAAGGCAGCAAAGGGCCAGTGTCACGTACAGTGTGTAGGATGCTTGCCTTGCACACAGCCAACCTCGGGTCCATCCCTGACATCCCATATGGTTCCCCTGAGTCCTCCAGGATTGATTTCTGAGTGCAGAGCCAGAAGAAAGCCCCAAGCACCACCAAGTGTGGCCCAAAATCAAAAAAAGAAAAGAAATAAGGCAGGGAGGCTTTGACACATGGCCTGGGGTCGAACAGTGCTGCTCTGTACTATCACCAGAGTGATAGTACAACAGATAGGGCACTTGGGTTTTATCCCTGGCACCAGAAAGGGTCCCACAAGCCCCGCCAGGAGTGATCCCTGAGCATAGAGGAGCAAGCCCTGAGCATCGCTGAGTGCCGCCCCCTCAGACAAGATGCTCAGATCTTAAACTAGAGGTGACAGTGCAGGGGTTAAGGTACTTAACCGTGGACCCAGCTGAGTCCGGTTCAATCCCTGGTACCACATATGGTACCCCAACCAGGAGTGATTCCAAACTCCGCCCCCCTCACCGTGAGAAAATATGATAGAGGTGGTGGGTAAAGAGAGCTTTCTTGGTTACTTTTATTGTTTTTGTTTTATTTTGGGGGAGGAGTACACCTGGTGATGCTCAGGGATTACTCCTGGCTCTGCACTCAGGGATTACTCCTGGTGGGACCATATGGGATGCTGGGGATTGAACCAGAGTCACTGAGTGCATGGCAAATGCCCTCTCTGCTGTACTCCAGCCCCTAGTTACTTTTATTATTTCCCTCGTGTGTGTGTGTATGTGTGTGTGTGTGTGTGTGTGTGTGTGTGTGTACGCACATGCTTTTAGGGGAATGAAGTTAGACAAGTGTTGTTATGTTACTTGCACCAGTGCTTTGCAGGGTACAGTCTGTTTTTTCTCCCTGGGATTGCCACACCCAGCTGAGCTCAGGATTTACTCCTGCGTTGTGCTCAGAGATCATTCCTGGAAGGGCTTAGGAGATCATATGGAGTTCCGGGAATCAAACCCAGGCCTGAGGCTAGAGAGATTGTCCAGCGGGTAGGGTGCGTCCCTTGCATGTGGCTGACTGGGATTTAATCCCTGGTATTCCATATGGTCCTCTGAGCACAGCTCAGAGTGACTCCTTAGAGCAGAGCCAGAGTAAGCCCTGAGCACAGCTGAATGAGG